CAGCGGGGCGGACAGGGCAGGACCCCCGCGCGCATCTCCTCGCCCGGCGTCCGGGTCCCGGTCCTGGTCCTGGTCCCGGTCCCGGTCCGGCGCGTGCGGGCCGCCTGCGGGAGGCTCAGGCGGTTCTGGGTGATCCTGCCCGGCCGCGGGGGGGGGGGGTCGGGGGGGAGGGGAGGGGAGGTGCTGGGCCGGCTCCGAGGGGCCTCTGGGGGGGCCGGCGCGCGCTCCCCGGCGCCCCCCTCCCCACCAGCGCCCGGAGAAGCCCCCGCCGGCCGGGACAGGCGGGCGCGGCGGGTTCAGTGGGGGCTCTGCGCCCGGAAAGGGTGTGCGGGTGAAGCCTGAGCTCGGGGCGCGAGGGGCTTCTGGGGCCGCGGGGACGGCGCAGGCAGGAGGCCCCTGTCTGGGGGTGCTGCGGGGGTGACCCCGACGGGGCGCGGGGCGCGGGGCCCCTCGAGGCGGAGACCTGGTCCGCGGGTCCTGCTCTCTGCGCCCGCCGCGGGAGGGACATGCGGGTGGTGAGGACCCCACAGCCCCCCTTCCCCTTGGGGTCTTAGCTCCTTCCTGCGCAGAGGCCCTGGCCTGGGTAAGGGGCGCCCCCTCCCCGCAGAAGCCGAGGGGGGCAACCCGCTGACCTTCCCGGGAAGGAAACCCGGGCGCGCTGGGGGGCGCCTGCCCGCTCCGGACGCCTCCGTTCACCCACGGGAGCCCGGGGAGGGGTGCCCGGGCCTCCCCGCCCTTTCACTGTGGTCTGCAGCATGCTTTTCCTGGTGGAAGGTACCAGTCCCCTCTCCCAGGGGCTTCCCGCCCCTGCAGGTCCCCCTTCCCTCCCCTTGTCGTGTTCCCCTCAGAAGTGCCACCCGGAGTCTCTCTGCCTTCAGAGACTCAGCTCCACCCTGTGGGTGCTGAGAAGGCTCTGCTCCCCCAAACCAGCACCAGGGAGCCCTCGAGGGCCCAGGCGGGGATGGGGCAGGCAGGGCCAACCCCTGCTTCACACCCAAGGCCTGGACATGTCTCCTGAGAACTCGGAGCGGATGGCCAGGCTCGCCTCGTATAAGAGGATCCCCCCGAGGCCCAGAAGACAGAGCCTGAAGCTGTTGTCCCGACGGGCGTGGTAGTGGGGAGACTGAACCAGAGGACCAGCCAGTGAGTGGGGGGCTGGCTCTGCTGAGCCCCGGAGAACCAGAGATTCAGCCCCGACGGCGGGGGTGGACGGGTGGCTGTGGCACAGAGGGGCGCCCGCTTAGCGCAGGGTTTGCTAAGCAGCCAGGCTCCGCAATCTCACCAGGGTGGTTCTGCCCAGGCAGCACCACACGCACCCCCACCCCACCCGAGGGTGAAGAAGGAGGGAGGATGTAGGCCGCCCTCCCTCCGTTCCGGACACCCCACAGCTCCGCGCTCACCTCTGCGCTCGAGGGGAGGTTCGGAGGAGCAAGACGCATTTGGGGCAGACGCGCCTGCATAGGAGGACACCACCCCCCCCAAGGAAGAAAAACTGGAGCGGCCGGCAGTTGCCGAGTGGGACTGAGAGGCTGCGGCCGTTTCCGGAGAGAAACCATCAGGTTGGCGCCCCACGCAGACGCGGCGTTTCGGCCAAATGGGAGATGACAGCTCACCCGTGAGTTCCCGCCCACTCTCTCATGCTGGCCGGACCCTGAGGGGGCAGAAGCGAGCGCCTGAGGTTGAGGCCAGCTGGCGGTGGAGGCTGGCCCTGGTCGCCCTCACTTCTCCCACCAGGAGGGGTTTCTGAAGCCTCCAGTTGCCTTGGTGACGGGCCCTTCCTGCGCTGGATGGAGCCTCCATTGCACGCACTTCTCTCTTCTTGCACAGATTCTGAATCAGCCCTGAGTCAGAGTTCGTGCCCGGATGGAGGCCCTTCCACCCACAGAAGCAGAAAAACCAGCTTGCTCTTGACAGGAGGACCAGGTAAAGGAGGAAGCAGATGCAGGTGGCCCCCGGGGTGTCCCCCCAAGGAGGAGCTAAAGGGAACTGCTACGACCCAGATCCCATCCCGGGCCACGGTCTCTCACGGACCTCATGTCACCCCCCCAGGATGGATCAGTTCTGGTCCTTCCATGTGTTGGAGAAAGAAGAGTCAGAGCAGTCCAGCATTGTCCAAAGGCCCAGGACTGCTGGGAAATCAGTGCCTGGTCCCCACGCACACCCCTGAGGTCACGGTGACCCACGTTGGAGGTGGCTGGACCCATTTCTTGCCCTACATCAGCTCCTTCCCAGGGCCATGCTGCACCCAGTCAGGCCGGCAGAGACTCCACCAGGGCCCACCCCGGTGCTGTGTCTCTTCTGTCTCCGTCCTCCTGCCCCTCCTGCGAGGCCTGAATTGGAGAAACTAGGTCATTTCTCCTGGGTTGGACTGATTGCTTCCTGGTGCTGTTGTTTTACTTGTTTCTCTAACATCTGTAAATTGTAGTAGCGACTAGAGACTCCAAGAGTTTCAGGTTCAACTGCTTCTGACCAGAATAATTCATGGGTGTTGTGTGCACGTCCTGTTACGTCACAGCGGGAGGTCCATGGCTGCCTGTCTCCTTTTGGCAGGACAAGGCCGTTGGGTGTAGCTGGGAGCAGCCCTGACCTCCGCTGGCGACTTCCTGTCAAGCTTCTCAGCAAATGGCCTCAGAGTAGTTCACGTGATCACTGCTGATTTATTCAGTCACACACATGAAGGAACAACAACGTCTTCCATCCTTCCAATACAGACCCTCGCGGTGCGGGTACTTAAGAAAGCTTGCAGCCATCTGTCTGCACTAAATTCTTGGAAGTTATTCGCCACCAGAAACCCCTGTCTTTCACTGTTTTCCACGTTTAATGTTGCTCCTTTTCGAAGGACATGCTTGCCCCGGGCTTTGGCTCATTAACTTTAAACACGTTTATCCCCTGAAAGACGAGGATTTAGTGCACCTGCTCCGCAGCCTCCCCTGCTGCCGCTTCTGGTTCTTTTCTCGGGCCAGCCCACGCCCTTCGTAGGATGTGCTCACCCTCTTCATCTGCTTGAGCGGCTAGAACTAGCTGCCCTCGGCTGAGGCCGGGGCTTCAACAACCGCTTATTTCTCAGGGTCCAGAAGCGGGTAGTGGGAGGTCAGGGTGCAGCATGGGTGGGGTCTGGTGAGTCCCCCCCCATATATTCGTATATATTCATTTCTGGGAATATTCTCCATGATTTGGGGCATAATTTCTTCCCCTCGTTTTTTTCTGTCCTCGCTCCAATGTCTGTGGCCAGAGAACCTCTGGAGTCTATCAGGCTGTCCTTTGGCTTTGTTTTCATTTGGCCTATTTGTTCTTATTCAAATTCATCCTCCAGGATTTGTTTATTGAAAAAAAAGACCAAGTAAGACTCGCCCTGGCCTGTGTTGCTCACCTGGAGGCATAGCTTTACTCCCCGGGCCCCCGGCACCCCGTCTCCTCCCAGGTCCCAGGGACCTGCTGAGACCCCCAGCCCTGCGGGAGGGAGCATCTGTCTCTAGCTCCTCCTCCCTCCCGCTGCAGGTTGGAGAAGCTGGTCATCACTTAGTGTCTCCGGAACACCTGACGAGAGCTGAGGTGTGAACACCGGTTCTCAGGGAGGGGGAAACTCCCGCACACATTGTATGAGCCCCACGTTGCTTGTCCCCAAACCAGAGACGAAGAGCCTGCACGCAGATAAAACCAGGGACTGAGGTCCGTGATGACCGTGGATGCAGAAGTCCGCAACAAATCCCCGGCACATCAAAGCTGACAACACGTGACAGGACTCACCTGAGGAGAGCGAGGCGGGTGCAGCGTGCACAAGTCAACCCGTCTCCTCCCGCAGCAGCAGAAAGGATGATAAAATCCACCAGACATACACAATACGTGCATTTGACGTCACACTAAGGAAACTCTGGGGCCCAGGGAGTGGCAGCCTGCAGGGAGCAGGGGTGCGTGGCCCCACACAGGCAGAGAATGTATGTCATGAGCATGTGAGCGGGGTGACCTCGGGGGCTGTGGCCCAGCCAGAGCTAAGTGCCCGCGTCTGTGACACTGGCCAAGGCAGCATGTGCGAGATGGCGGTGGGGTGGCCGCAGGCCATGGTGCAGTTGTTATGAAGTGAGTCGAGGACGCTGCTGTCGAGAGGTCTATGGAGGTTGAGGGTGTGGGAGGGGTGGGCGCCGTGTGATGTCAGGGCGGTGGGGCAGGGCCGGGGGTTGAGGTCAGAGGCTGGGGGCCAGCTGGGGGGGAGTGGAGGAAGCACTGGGGAGCGAGAGGTCGTCACCCCCACCCCTGCACGCAGGTGTCCTTGGGTGGAGAGACAGGCGTGGGCCCGGGGTGGGGGTGGGGGTGGGGGGCAGCAAATGCCCGGCCCAGTGTGACACGGGACAGGCAGTCCCTGGCGGGGTTGTCCCCTGTGAGATCCACAGGTGATGCCAGCGGGGAGCCCTTCGGCGGGCTTGGGCTGTGGGCTAGGGTGTCCTTCCCAGAGGACACTTGCTCGAGTGGACGGGCCTCAGCACGTGCCCTGCCCGGTGTCACTTGTGTCAAAGAAGCGCCCGGCTTCGTGTGAGAGACCCCAGCCCTCTGAACGGCGCAGCCACCCTAGTGGGGTTGGGGCTGCTTTGGGGGGGTAGGACTTTCGGCTCCAGTGGCCCCCTATCAGGTGGGCAGTTGTCTGGCCTGGGGCCCATCTGTGGCTGACGGGTCCAGGGCTGTCGTGCCCTCAATATAGCTCCAGCTCAGACGGGCCAGCCAGGCCGAGCGTCCCTCAGGAGGCAGCGCTGGGGTAGCCCGGAGGCCGCTGAGCGCTTATCTGCTGGCTGCAGTCGTGCCGGGGCCGTCCTGGGCCCGGCCTGGCCGTCTCCCTCGCCGGCCCCGCACTGCTGTCCTCTCCCAAAAGCTGCCCCAAAATTCACTTTGGTCTGAAGGAGCTATGCTTCCAAACCAGTGTTCTTTTATTAAAACAAGGCTGACAAGTGTGGCCTCCGCTCGCGCTGCGCTCGCCGCCGGTCACACCAGGCCTGGGCCACAGGTGCCGGTCAGCGCAGGCAGCACTTGGCCTTCCCATTGTAGCAGGTGCCCGTGACCTTGGTGTTGAGCGGGCAGGAGGAGTAGTGGCAGGTGCCGCCTTTCTTGACACATTTGTAGTGGTCAGATCTCCGGCCGATCTCTATCATTTCCCCCATACCTGTAGGAAGGGGAGAGAAGGTCAGACTCAGGGCCGCAGCCCCAACAACGGCGGGGACACCCGGACAGACCCCGGGACACCGGGACGGCCCTGGGCAGGCGCTTTGCCCCTGTTGAGCGGCAACCCGGGGTGGTGGAGGCACCTGGTGGCACAGGCCAGGTTGGAGCTCCTTCTCCACGACGCACGCTACAGTCCTCTCACCCATTTCCCACACACACACACCACACACACATGCACCACACACACCACACACATACCACACACACATCAGGCTCACACACCACACACACACACACAGGGGACACAGGCGTGTGTCCCTCGCTCCCCAGGACTGAGCAGCAGGACAGGCTCCCAGGGGTGTGGGGGCAGGATGGGACGACACGTGGGGCAGGTGTGAGATGTGTGTAGGCCCAACATAGACACAGGTGTGGGCCCTGCACCCACGGGAGACGTGGGGGGACTTGTCTGCATGGGGGAGGAACGCGCTTATCGGAGCCCTCCGGGACTCGGCAGGTCGGCCAAGGCGCTCCCCACGGCAAACAGGCCGGGTGCTGGCCAGGGGTGGCCGCAGGGGCCCGGGAGGCTGCCCGTGCCTGAGCTGCAGCGCTGGCCCCCTGGGAGGGAGCTGGCGCTGGAGCCCAGTGGCGGCTGGGAGGGCTGGACCTCATTCCCAGAATCTCTCTAAGCTTTTGGAGATGAAATCGAATATCGGAGCCACTCCCACAAAATAAATACCAGCCTCCCAGACAGCCTGGTGCCCCCACCCCGACCCGCACACAGGTGAGGTCCGGAGACGCTCAGGCTGCTGTGGGGGGAGCAGCGACGTCACTTGTTAAGGTCATGAAATGTTTCATCCAGTTCCTGTCAGATTATCCTCCAGATGAATGCGGTGCCTGCTAGCAGAGCCGAGTCTCTGGGGAGTGCGTGCCGAGGACGTGGGCTCTGGGGCAGGGCTGGGATTGAGTCCTGTTCCTGGCTGGGCATTCGGGGTCCATCTCCCCGAGCTTCACCGCGGAGACACGTCTGTAACGGGGGGTGGGCTCACCCTGCTGGAGGCCTGGGACGCTGGCAGGCAGTGCTCAGACAACGATGCTTTTGTATTTCCCTGCCCTAAAGTGCTGCTGCGGGTGTTTTCTGACACGAGCTCCCCTGAGGGGCCAGCGAGGTGCGGTCAAGCCCGGGTGAGCGGGTGGCCGGAGGAAGAAGCATGGGGCACGCAAGCCAGTTTTTCTGGGCAGCAGCACATTCCAGGAGCTGCCCAGAGGTGGTTAGAGGCGGAGGGAATGAGAGCAGTCAGGAGGGGCGAGGTGCAGAGCCAGCCCCCAGACAAGTGCCGCGGACGAGGGTCACAGAACCCTCGTACTGGGGTGCAGAGTCGTTTGCCTAACCCCTCCTTTTTAAAGGTGGGGACCCTGAGGCCCGACTCCCAGGAATCCCGTGGTGGAAGGGGAGAGGCTGGCGAGAGCAGGATGCCTCGGGGCGGGTTGGGTTACGTTGGCTGCACCCAGGAAAGGCAAGTGTGAGAGAGAGTTGGCTGTTGACGCAAGGGTCCTGGGGGCCACCTGCACCCCCATTACTGTCCCTAAGCCACCTCCACCTGCAACAGGCCAGTCCCCAAAAGCAGCTGTCCTGGTGCTGACTGGGGACCCTGCCCGCTGCCGCACCCTGACGGCACCTGGGACCTGGCCCCAGCCCCTGCTCTGCAGCCCAGAGGCCCGGCCCGCCGGGGGCGTGAGTCCCGCTCTGCCTGCCCCCGCGATCCTTGCTTCCCTGGGAGGCCCTGGGACGACTGAATCAAAGTGAGAGGCGCTCTCGTGTTGCAGCCCCTTCCTCTGGCTTCTCCCGCGCCGCCTTCCCATCTGCTGGGGCTTGTGCCACCCGCCCGCTCCCTTTCCAGCGGCACCTGCTCTTCAGACGGCAAAGTCAGGCGCCCGCAGCCCCCGGGCAGACGCGGTGCGTCTCCGAAGCGGCTCTGGAGTGTCGGGCACAGGGAGCAGCGGGGCCTGTGGTGCCCCCCAGGCAGGGACCAGCCTCGCTTAGCCGCAGCTCAGGGTGGAAAGGTGCTCCTCATTTTCCTTTGTCAGAGAAGATGCAATTCTACATTTTACGGCACCATCCTGACTTTCTAATGTTGAGAAGAAACTGCATTTCTTTAATTGAAAAATTGAACAAAATGTAAATACCACGAAGCCTCAATAGCGTCCATTTCCCTCACTTCTCAGCTGCCCCGGGCAGCCCCCGGGCTCGGCGGGAGCAGGTTGGCTCCGGCCGTCATGGGTTCTGGGAGCAGCCTGCACTTTCAGCATTCCCAGCCCACTGTAATTAGGGAATGAATTATATAACCGGTCTTCCGGCTGCTTCGAGAAGGTGCCGTCACGAGGCCGTGGCCGTGTCTGCACGTAGCAGCCGTGAACGACATACTTGCTGACTCGCTGAGCAACAGCCTCCGAGCATCTCGGGTCCTGAGCCCCCTGAGCTCTGCCACCCCTCTCCGCGGGCACCTGGGTGAGTCTGCGTGTGGTTTGGCACCGGCTCCATGTTCCCAGGAACACCACTGGGTGGGACAGACATGGCCGCAGCTTGTTTTCCAGGGGAGATGAGACTGGAGGACCAGCAGGTCTCGTGGCACCCCCTTCCCTTGGAGCCGTGGGCCTCGGTTTCCCCTGGAAGTCCCAGGCTGGGCTGGGCCACCTCAAGGGCTCTTCCAGGAACGGCTTGAACTGACCCCCACACCACGAGGGGCTGGGGGTGTGTGCCTAGGCCCAGCAGTGCCCTCTGGACACCGTCCCAGCCCCCCGCCTGCGCCGGACACCGAGGAGGGTCTGGGCATCACGGCCACCAGCGGGCCCGCGGGCAGGGGTGGGTGCCCCGGGGCGGGGCCACCGCAGCCAGCACACACTGACCAAGGCCACGGGACAGAAGACAAGCCGCAGTGGTGCCTGAGTCAGCAGAGGGAGGGCCACTGCCTGCACCTGAAGACATCGCTCCTTCCCCCTCCCACCCTGCGCAGGGGAGCCTCGGCCAATGCTAGAGCCGCGGTCAGACTGCCCTTCCCCGGGGCCCTCCCCGCGGGCCCTGACCGGCCAGAGGCAGCTGCCAGAGGGGCCCCTTGCTCAGGCCTCCTGGTTCAGCCCCGAGCGCATGGGTGCCGCCCAGCTAGGAGGGCGAGCCGCGGGGCCAAGCCCCAGCAGCGGTTCCTGAAGGGCCCGGTCTCCCAGCACCCTGTGCCCGGGCTCTGTGCCCCAGGAGTCCCGTGGGCTCGGGGCCAGGGTGGCCTCCCAGAGTGTGAGCTCGGCCACTCGAGCCTGCTCAGCGGTTGCTCGACCCACACGGCCTCAGGAACACTTGCAGCTTCTGTGCCTGGACACGCTCTGCTCATGCACACTCCACGCCAAGGCAGCGCTTCCCACTAAGGCCTTGGACTCAGAGTGGGAATGTGCTGCCGGCAGAGGTCTGGCTCCGCTTCCCCACGCGTGCACACACACGCATGCACACACACACACTCACGCACGTGGAAGAGGAACAGAGGAAGACACTAAAGAGCAGGCCGTGCCCGAGGTGGTGCCCAGGGCCTGCAGCTGGAGAGGAAAGCTCTACACCAGGAACAGTTTTCAGGTGGGGAAACTGAGGCCCAGCCGGGGCCCGGCCACATCTCTGGGTGGTGAGGCGGCGCTGCCGGATGCTTGGTTGGGCCTTTGGAGGCTCTCAGGCCCTGAGTCACCTCCAGCCTCGCCCGCGGGTGAGCAAGCGAGCCCGGCACGGCTGGCAGAGGAGCTTGGGAGGGAGACCGCGCCGGGGTGGGGAGGCTCCACTCACCTGTAGTGTCCTGCCCGCCTGGCCCCAGGGACTTGGCTGCTTTGACCCAGAGAGGCAGCCTATTTGAACCGAGGGGTGCCCCATGCATGTCCCACCTGGAGGAAGGTGAGCGGGTCCAGGGAGGGGCGGCCCCAAGACCCCACGGCCTGCACACCGGTGAGTCGATAGTGCCCTGAGCGGCCTGTGGAGGAGGGGGGCAGCCCCTGCTGGTGCCCGCAGCCCTGCCAGTGACTCGGCCGAGCTGCGCCCTCGCTGGGCAGCAGCTGGGCAGCAGCTGACCTCTCTAATGCGGCCCCACGGCGGGGACGAAGCCACCTTCTCGGCCCAATGCAAGGAAGGGACTGGGGCTCTGGCCAGCCGCCTGTGACTATGTCCCCACCCTCTTGGAGCCCAGAAGACAAGGGCCCTAGGATGGACAGGGCCCGAGAGAGCCCACCTCTCCCGCAGCGGGGCTGCCCTGTGGGCCCCCGAGGACCGGCCAGGGGGTCCAGTAGGCTCCCCTGGTGGGTCTCAGAGGTTGTGCCCCCGCCGCCTTGGGAGTGCTTTCCTGCTGCTGGACCTCAGAGCCCCGGAGGCCCGAGTGCCCGGCCTGGGGCAGGGGCCGTGTCCAGCCGCTCACTCACCTGGGCCCGGGTGGCAGAGGAGCAGGCAGGTGGCCAGCAGCAGGCAGCAGAGGGCCCTCATGCTGGCGGGTGCCAGGGCCGAGTGCAGCTGAGCGCAGCTTCTTGGCTGGCTGTGGAGGCTTTTATAGGCTCAGGTTGCACAATCCCTCAGAGGATCTCAGGGGCGGCTGTGATGGCACCGAGATGCTAATAAGTCACCCTGGCGGGTGCCCTTCTGGTGCTCCCAGAGGGACAGTGAGCTGGGAGCCTGCCAGACCCGCGGGGGCCGCCCCTCCCCTGCCAGGAGCCCACAGGTCTGTCTCTTGGGGGTGGGGGTGCCGACCGGTGGGGGGAGGTCCGTCCATCCCGCCACTTCCTCACCGTCCTTCTGCGGCTGCCTTTCTCCCTGGGGCACCTCCCGGCTTCTCGCCTGTGCTTCAGGATCACTGCGTCTCTCAAGCCTTTTAAGATGTGTGCATTTCAGGCGAGTTTAGGTTCACAGGGTCCCCTGCCCTTCCCCCAGCCCCTGCAAACAACAGTTGGGGGCTACGTGTGACCCCGAGAAGCCCGTCCTGCCCAGTCCTCGCCACCCAGAGCCCACCTGGCATTCGGGTCACTCTCGGGTCCCCTCCGTGGGCTTGGACACGTGGACAGCGATGCGTCTGTGGTCTTTCCACGGCCTAACCCCTGGGCCACCTGCTCACCCCCTGCAGCCCCGCCTGTCCCCTCAGAGTCCTGCCCAGAAACCCCGCCCGACCCCACGGAGTCCTGGGGAAGGTCGTGAGCTGGGAGCCACGAGGGGCTGCCCCTCAGCTGGCCGCCTTCCCCCACACACGCACTCGCACCACCCGCTCTGCACCCAGCATGAGTGAGGCTCCCCCCCGCCACGGCCTCGCCAGCACTCGGGATGCTGGGCCCGGGCATTGGCCGGTCCTCAGGCGTGTGGGGTCATGGGAATCCGGGTGCTGCAGGATGGGGGGCATTTTTTGTGCTCGGCATGAAGAGCACAGACAGGAGGCCTCACCAAGGTTTGCAGGGAGCTCGCCCTCCTGTGGCTCAGAGGCCCTGAGGCCGGACCCGCTGAGCCGCTGAGCTCGGGGTCAGAGGCCCCACCGCGGGCAGGGCCACGCCTGTTAATCTCAGGCCGCCTGAGGTTTCCCGGGTCCGACGATGAGATCTTTTCCCGTCCCAGTTCTGTTGTGATCCCACCAGCCGCTCGTCTCTCCAGGGCTCTCGCTGTGGCCACAGAAGAGATGCGCTGCCCAGGAGTGTCTCCCGGGGGAGGGTTGCGTGAGGTAGTAGCAGCTGACGGACCCGGCCAGCCCACCCCGCTGAGGCGGCTTCCAGGGCAGGCCGGGGCTGTCCCGTGAAGTCTGCGTGGCAGGCGCTGGGCACTGGGACCCACCTGGCTGGCTGATGTTTGGCCGAGCAAGGGAGGCACCGATGGCGGCCAAGACAGCTTCAGCATGGCCACCGCCACGGCCGGCCGACCCCGTCTGCACTGGACACACTCCCTCCCGATGCCCCACCGCTCCCAGACAGACAGGCGGGGAGACAGACAGACAGAGCCCCCTCGCCGAGTGTGAGGAGCCGCAAGGCCACGGGGCCCGGCAGCAAGACATACCCCATGTGCCGGCCCTCGACCTGCCAGCCAGCTTCCCAGAGGGAAGAGAGAAGCTTGCAGAGAACTGCTTTTCTTTTTTTTTTTTGGTGGTGTAACGCCTCCGCCAAAGCCCCAGTCTCCACGTAGCCCTTGGGCCCCTCCCCACGTTGCTCCTGGCTGACCCGCCCCACCCCAGCAGAACCCCGACTCGGTCCCTGCCAGCTCCCCAACTCCAGTGACATCCCATCTGGAGCGGGCAGCTGCTCCTCTGTCCTGCTGGGTCCAAACCACAGCCGGCTGGGCAGCTCGGGCCGCATCTGGGGCCCACACCGCGCTCCTCGGTGCTTTCTGGAGGGGCGAGACGCTGGCGTCACACCAAAGGACCTGCGCCGCCTTAGGGGCGAGTCCCAGTCCACATAGCCACAAGCCAACCGCAGGGAAGCAGCCTGGGGCCGGGGCGGGCAGCAGCGGGGTTGGTCAGGGAGGGGCACGGCGGGGGGAGCAGGGTTGCCCGCTCCTACCCTGTGGGCTCTGGACATTTATCCTGCTTGAGGGAACAAGTTCCGTCAACTTACCCAGTTAGTACTGAACCACGTTCACGCACATCAGTGTGTCTTGTTTTGTGACGCACGTCCAGGAAGCCGGGGGCACACCCGCAGGGCCTTCCCTTTCGTCCCCGCCCCTGCCCGCGGTGGGGCCGTCGAGTCCATGGCCTGGCTGCTGGTGTCCAGGACACGTCTGGGCGGGGGCTGTTTGCATCAGGTGTTTCTCACAAGTGGGGAGCCCGAGGGCACTGGAGACCAGGCCGGGAAGGGCTCGGGCGGTCCCCTCCTCTTCTGAGGGAGGGAGGACATCGGGCCCAGCTCCGGGAGGACACAGAGCGCAGAGCCGGCCCGGTGGGCGGCCCCTCCCCGGCCCGAGAGCTGCCCGTGTCCCGGCACACGTGCCTCCTGCCCGCCGCCCCACCTCAGCTGAGCCAGCCCCGAGGTGCACAGACGGGGCTCCATCCCCTCCGTCCCCAGACTGGGCTGGGCCCCTCACGCCAGCCTAGGAAGTGACCGACGGAAGGGCGGGCCCCGGTGGCTGTGTCCACAGCTCCCGTCGCTGCGGTTGGTGGTGGAGTCCCGCCCCCCCGACCTGCGTGGCCACCTAGACGGCGGCACCTATTGCCGGACCCAGAACCGCACCGGCCCGGAGCACACGGACCCGCCGCATCCCGCCGTCGGGCCGACTCCGGGGCAGGCAGTGTGGCCGGCTCTGGCTCTGTCCTGCGTCTGCTTCCAGAGGAAGCCGCCGGGGCCGCCCCCGGGCTGGCTTTCACCCGCTCTGCCTGGGCGCCTGGTACCGCGGGGCCCCGACTCCATTGTGCGCTTCCAGCCTGGGTGTCCGCGTCCCTCTGCGTGGGGGGCTTCCCCCAAATTAACCTGTTTTTATCGGCCAGTCTGGCTCTTCCTAGAGGCAGAGTTTGGGGTGTCGGTTTCGTCCATGTGCTGGGCAGCCTGGGTGCCACATCCTCCAGGTCCTCTGCATGGTCCCAAAGGGAAACCCCGACCCCCTTAACGCCAGCCCCACTTCTTGCTGCCCCTGCCCCGACGCCCAACGTTCCGCTCTGTGTCCGGCTCTGATCCCGGCTCCTCCCGCAGCGGGGCGCGGGCGCAGGTGCTCTTGGGACCGGCTTATTCCTGCGGCATCGTGTCCTCAAGTCCACCCACGTTGTCCAGGCACCAGAAGCCCCTCCTTGGAAAGGCCGAGCAGCAGCCGCCCTGCGTGGAGCCGCCGCCTACTGGTCTGCTCACCCCCGGGCCGCGAGGTAGGAGGATTCATGACAGGCCCGGGCGGCTGCGTGTCCACTGCAGACGCCGCCTGCAGCTCCTGGCACCGCCTCAGCGCTGGGGCGAGCGCAGGAAACTAGTCGCAACCAGGTTAAGCTCTGGCTCTTGCAAGCAGATTCCCATCAGAAACTGGTCCAGGAGACCACCCGCCTTGGCTGCACCATGCAGGCACCCCTGTGGGGGGCCTGAGAGGCACCCGGGGCCGCTGGGGGACGGTCTGATCCCTCAGCCTGCCTGGCTGCGAAGCCCACGCCGAGTCGGGCCCCGGTGACACGAGCAGCGTCCACTCTGGTCTTGAAAGTGCCGGCCACCCTCATGCTGCTGAGGTAGTGCTGGTTCATGGCCTTGAGTGTGTCCAAGTCAGAGCGTCTCGCCCCGTGGGGTGTCTCAGGCCATGGGGGGCCCGGGGCGGGTGGTGAGCAGACTGACGTCGATGCTGACATGAGTGACTCGATCAATTGTGACCAAGCAGGCACCGTGACCGCTCTTGGGGAGGGGCGGCTCCAGCAGAGCTTGCAGGGGAGGGCGGCCTGCACCTGCCCTCACCCGAATTCCTTGTTCAGGCCTGGCCACATCGCCCTGCATGGAAGCCAGCTCAGAGCCTGGGCTGGGGGAGGGGGGTGGGCGGGGAGAGCAGGGTCTGGCCCCTGACCTTGGGCCAGCTGCCCCTCATCTCCTCCCCAGGGTGGGCAGGCGTAGGTGCCCACTGCTGTGGGGGTAGTGGATGGAGTCCCTGCCCTTTGACCCCACCTGGGGTGCCCTGGTTCTCAGGGAATTTGGCTGCAGCCTGGGTTGCGACCGTGTACCTCCTACTTAACAGGCACTTGTCAATCAGTGTTCAGAGCCCCCCTCGCCCCCCCCAATATCTTTAACTTTATTGGATGGAAGAGACGGTTTCAGGGGGGGTCCGTTTTGCACCCCCAGGGACACTTGGCAGTTGGGGGGACGCGCTGGTGTGGAGTCTCTAGGTGTGGAGGTGTCTGTGGCACCTGTGGGGGAGGAGCTGCCAGGGACCCTGTAGGGAGGCAGCTCTGGGAGGGAAGATAAGTCACTTCTTAACCTGTTTCCCACAGGGTCACCTGGCTGGGCCTGGCGCTGGGAGTGGGTGCTGGGCACCATCCGCGTCCACCTCGGCTGCCCGTCTCTCGATCTCATCGCAGAGGCTGGATCACAGTGGACCCCGGGTCTCTTCCCTGTGGTCACTCGCAGCCGTGACTACACCCGCGTGGGGGTGGGGTCGCAGGACAGAGTGTCCCGCCCAGGCCAGCCCGCAGGCGCAGGGCCGGGGACAGGCCCCACTCCGGGGAGATAAGAGCCTCGGAGCCGGACCGTCTAGTTCTGCTTCGGGCCCAGGACAACCAGCCCCGCAGATAAGCTGGACCCGGCCGAAACGCCCCAGGAAGCCTGCAGCCCTTGAGCAGCAAACAGCCCACACCAGGCTTCTCGTCTCCGCCCCTGGGGAAGTTTGTCCCTCTCGGATGCCTCCATCTCAGGAACCCCGTCTTCCGGGTGTGGCCGAGCTTGTGTCTGCGACCTGCCTGGGCCCTGCCCCCACCCGACCCCGTCACAGGGCCCAGTCAGAGTTCGCCCTGTGGAGACAGGCCTGGAAGATGCTGTGAGCTGGGACGGTGATCCTGGGCGGTGGAG